TATCCACAACAACACCTATCCACACCCCCCCAAAAATCCACCGATTGATTCAATTGCAAATTTTCTCGTATTCCAAACAATCCAATGCAATTGAGGACATTTCAACAAATGCACAGGGCGTCAGTGTGTATTAAGTCGCACCCTCCGAGCGTCGAGACGAAAGAAAACGAAAAAGAGATACATACCAGTGAGCAGCACAATCAGGACCCCCTACTCGTAAACCATACAGGCAATGCATATGTCACGAGTTTCGAACGTTATCTTATTCCAATCAACGTATTTGGACGCGACGCGAATCCTGGAACGACGACGACAAATTATCCCGTTGGAAACGCGATTCACGACCGGCCATTTTGAATGAGCACTCTCGCACGCGTACCAACGCGCAAAATGAATGGGTCTTTTAAATATACCTATTTCTCTTAGAAGCACACGAACGGTCATCGTAATTTAAGAAACGCGGCAAATCCAATTCAGGTTACGGCACAATCCACAACAGCGGGCATGACGAACGTAGAAACCCGCCTTAACCTTCGATATCTATCGTTTCCCTTGTCATTAGATGTTCCAGCTGGTCGTTGTCTTTTTCCTTTGCTGCTTCGCTACGAGCGGGAACGCGCGATGACATCGTCGACGACAACGACACCTCAAATATGAACACTTTTGGGTAGTTTTTTTATATAATATATTGTTGCTGGCTGTTGTTTTTGTTGTTGGGCCGTGGGCTACCGATCGAACTGATGTTACAATCTCAAGCTAAATCTCCTAACCTCCTCCTCCGAACTTCAACCCCGTGTACCCCCTTTTCACTTGTTTCGCGTTATTTTCACACGCTCATTCGATCACTCACGTGTCATACGTTTGATTATCGATTAATCCCGTCGCGGTCACGACCCGGCCCCCCAGAAAGAGAAGTCGCGTGGCAGACGATTAAGTCATCTTCGTCGTTACGTGTCTAAATCTTTATTAACCTTTCAGCACATATGCAACACATGCGCCTCTGTCTCTCTATATGCATACATATGCGAATATATATATGTGTCTATGAAGAGCATTTATTCGCGGTAATAAAATTTTTCCTGCAATTCCCTCGACAACATAACCCCTCTACCTCGTTCAGCCAATCAGCATCCAACCACCTTAAAAACAACAATTCGAACTCGTGTCGCCGAGTTGAGAACAGGACGTTCGGCGTACCCGGGGTCAATGATTTATAGCGAGCTGTCCCGCTGGCGTTAAACCTATGAAAAACTAAGAGAATGAATGTTTTACCTTTATTTTTAGTTCACCTACGTAAGAATGTGTTATCTCTTTCTTTCATTCCTTCTCTCTCTCTCTCTCTCTCTCTCTCTCTTTTTCTCTCTCTCTCTCTCTCTCTCTCTCTCTCTCTCTCTGTCTCGCACATCCACTCTACAACCGTCGCTATTTTTATCGTGTCTCTAACATCGTTAGCATATTTTTTTTTCTTTTCAATTATTACATTCTTCTCGTCCACACCAGCATCACAACTTCTTGTCGCACCCCTATTCTGGTACTGTCCGTATTGGTTTGTCCGTAACGTCTGTCGTCCTTTTATCTCGTGGGTCAGTACCTAGTCGATCCTCTTGCACCCTTCGACCCCCTGACTCGTGCACCCTCCCCGCAGATTTACTTTTAAACTTTATTACCGTTAATAACATTTTTTTTTTGTATGTTTATCGGGATTCAGGTTTGACGTTAACCCCCGTCAAACCCCTTTGACCCTTGACCCGTTCCCACCCCGTCCATCGAAAACCACCTGGCTTCACCAATACCTTCTCAACTTCTTCCCCCCACTCGTTCCTCCACCGTAATTAAATAACGCATTAATAATTTATATTCTCGTTAGCTGGTACTGATTTAATCTCTAATATTTATATCTCTATCCTCTTCGTTCTTCTATCTCTCTTCGGTGTCTTCTTATCACCCCCTCCCCTTTCCCCCCTTTCTCTCCCTCACACTTCATCCTCCTCCTCCTCCCTACTTGACCCTTGTTTACGTCTCTTCACGCTTCCTCTTCTTTCTCACGCTCTCCCTTTCTCGACACACGTTGCTTCTTTGTCTTCGCTCATTTAATCCCGCGTCATCCGTGTCATCGATCAAAAGTTTCCACGCTTCTATTTTTCACCCCCTAGGACTCAACTACTACTGGAATAATACGCAATGCGACTCTGATCTCGTAGCTACTCGGATAAGATTGGAACCGAACGATTATTTATAATAATAATGAATACTGCAAATGCGCGATTTTTATTTTCCTTTTATTTAATTAATCGTTTATACGAACTCTTCGCATGATTTTTTTTGTTCGCTCAACATCTACTTCACCAAACGCCCAACAGCCATAGTCGTTTACGGTATTCGATAAATTTTGTCAACGAGAGGCGCGCGTGCCCGTCGGGGCGTATCGTTTTTTCTTCTCCCACCTCGTACTATATATATATATAATAATTTTATTTATTTTTTTTGTTGTAATTTTCTGTCCACACGTTAGTTCATAATTAATAGGTGCACCCTACGAAGTATCTTGGTGTCACGAGATTCATGTATACCTAACGACGTGTCTGCCATCTTTATTTTCCCTTATCATTTATCACGCTCTTAGACTCCACTTCTAATACTTATTTTTGCCTTTTATCCCGTAGCACGATTTATACTGATCCCCCTTCAGTTCCTTGTCGTTGTTGCTCCCCTTGTTCACTTCATTAGCGACACAATGTCGTCTTGCGTTTTGATTACAATATTTTTCTTTTTTCTTTCCCCCCCCCCCCCC